ACTGATCCATCTCGTCACATGAGGAGTTTCGAGAATATGGCGGTCTTGCATCGCTATAATGACCCGGTGCAATGTCGAGCTTTCCTAACCACTTTGCGGGGATCTGCACAGGATTGGTTCCACCAACTACCAGCGGGAGCCATCAAGGACTTTGAAGGATTCAGTGCGAGTTTTCTCAATCAATTTGCAAGTGTGAGACCGCAGGAGAAGACGTATCTGACCTTAATGGGCATCCAGCAGAAGGAAGGAGAGTCGCTACGAGATTATGTGGCAAGATATACGCGAGCATGTGTCGAGGTGCCCAGGGCATCGGAGGAGATAAAGGCAGGAGGTTTGACAAGAGGGTTACTACCGGGCTTGTGCAGGAATTCTCTGGCAAAGCGCCCGGGTAGAACGTTCGACGAAGTGCTGGGGAGATGCGCGAAGTATATGAATGTCGAGGAGGCGGAGATCGATTTCTCGCGAACAGCCAAAGAAATTAGAGCTGACCCTCGGGAAGAGAGAAGGGAGAAGAGAATTTCCTCGGCAGGGGAGAGAAAGGGGTCCCCGTGAGCAGAGAGAGAGGGGCGACCTAGGGGTTGGAGGCCGACTCAATACACCCCTTTGTCGGCCTCTCAAGCGCGAATTCTGGAAGTAATGGAAAAAGAAATTCATGACAATGTTGTCAGATGGCCCAAAACAAGAAAGGATGGACCAACGAGACCGAAGAGTAACCTATACTGTCGATTCCACAAAGACTATGGTCACAATACTGACGATTGTAGGCACCTTAAAGACGAAATCGAAAGACTGATTAAGGCAGGACACTTGAAGGAATTCATATATAAGGATCGAGAAAAGTCGAACAGAAGAAGGGAAAGGAGCAGGAGCCCTCGCAAGAGGGCGAGAACGCCGGAGAAAGAGGAGCTCCCACAGAAAAGGGGAACCATACATATGATATTTGGAGGATCAACTGATGGGGATTCGAATCGAGCAAGGAAGGCGTATGCCCGAGGGCGCCATAGGAAAGTCGAGATACAACAAGTCGATGAGAATGGACCGGTAATAAATTTCGGCCCAGCAGATGTGGGAGAAGTTGAGAGGCCTCAGAACGACGCATTGATGATAACGGCCCAAATATCGGGATATGAAGTGCAGAGAGTGTTCGTCGACACTGGGAGTTCCGTAAATGTGATTTTTTATGATTGTCTCAAAAGGATGGAGCTCGACATACAGCTCACACCCCTTCATACCTCACTATTCGATTTCAATGGGTCAGAGGTCGCTCCCCTAGGTGAAACCATGCTCGCTGTCGTTCTAGGGGAAGGTGACTTGCGGAAGGTGAAAATGGTGAGATTCGTGGTGGTTGATGTCGAGTCAGCCTACAATGTGATCCTGGGGAGGCCAGCACTTAACGCATTCCTGGCGGTAGTATCGACCTACCATATGAAGCTATAGTTCCCAGTCGGAGACCAAGTTGGGGAAGCTCGAGTCGATCAAAAGCTGTCGAGGACTTGTTATCAAATCGCTGTAAAAACCTGTTGGTGTTATATACTTAAGCTGTGCTTTAGTGGATATTACACTTGTTATTCC